CGGCCGCTTGAAAATGGACCTTTGGGGTCCGCCTTATCGCGTCTGGTCTGGACGTGATAAGTCGAACCCAGAAGTTCGATTTCCAGCCGTCGAACTACCGGGTAAGTGTAGCCAAGGCCTCAGATAGCTTTCTTTGTGTATTCCCTCAAAGTTTAGTTTCACATTTTTTATGTTATTACAAATTCTAAATCCTGTTCATCATACATATATATTAAATGTTGAACACTTGCACATCCAGGTATCTACAAGGGGTAAATTCACAGTTCTTAGAACTGTTTGGAAAATGTACAACGTTTAATAAAGTTCATGCCTGGTTTGCTGTTGCAGTTGTTCTGGATTGTATATCAAATGGAAAACAAATGCAATGGCTGGTTGTCCTCAGAATAGCATCTCTGTGTTATTGTTGTTTGAAGTAAGCCAGTTGGTAAAAAGATTACAGATGATGTAATTTCTACCATTACATGTTTGACTTTTCAGATCTCCTTACCGAGATCCAAGATGAGCTCTGTTTATTATTCTTTTATCAAAACGTTGTTCCTCTATGAAGTCTAAAAAGAAACTGCTGCTACTGTTTTTTAATTTTGATTTTTTTTTAATTTAAACGTTTTTATTAAACCTGTACAATTACAGTAAGAGTAATCTGCATGCGTGAAGACCTGGTCTAAAATCTCGATCAATACCTGACTGAATATGTCATTTGCAGATCATCTTCCAATATTTCAGTTTTATATTTTTCTTTAGCCCTCACCCTCCTCCCCATATTTAGGAAAGAACGAAAAGTTAAAAGCAAAATAATAAGGAAACTGAGCTGCAAACAGTTAAATGTAAAAAGAAAAAAAACTTATGTTTTAACTTAATGCCAGAGCCTGATCTTCCTCTGGTGGAATACAAGTACTTCCCAGTGACACATGTATTTGCCTCCCATAATACGTTGCTCATATTCTGCAGGTGAATAATTGGGCCTTTAGTAATTATGACTCTAGAGAGGGCCCAAAACAGAATGCGTAGCAAAGATGTTAAGAATCTTGTATGCATCTTCTCCCTTAAATTTCTACCTCCCCTGGCAGACTCAACACCTCACCGGCTGTTCTGGACACCTCACCTTTCCAACCAGTGCCACCTACTGTTGAGGCTACACTAGCCACTTGCCAGGGTAGTGAGTGCTTTGCACCATCTCCACGCTTTCTGGGTAGCCTTTTCACTGGCTGCACCCTGATTGATGCGAGATTTCCATCATTTCTTTTTAAAATATACTACAAAATAGGGCAGATTGCAAAGTGAAGCACTCACAAGTCAGGAAATGACATATTGTTGCCTACACAACCTTGACTTTTCTCCTGATTCATATGCATTCCGATATAGTCTCCTATGACACGGCCACATACTATTTTTTCACACAGGACTACTACCTCATTCAGGACTCAAGCAACAATATGCTGAGTACTGTGCCCCCATTTCAGCAAAGACTTAAGCTTGAATTGAAGAATCTGAGTACTCCATTGACTGCAGTGGAACTACTCATGTGCTTGAAGATGATAACATGCTTCAAGTGCTTTGCTGCCTCTGAGACAGAGTGCTTAGTACCCTACAGGATTGAACCAGTGCAGAGGTTGGATGGTGCTCACTGAGCAACAGCTATTCAGTATTTCTTTTTCTCCTCATTTTGTAATGTGTGGCCACATGTTTTTTTTTACTGCGCCATTTGAACCCTGCACTGAATAAGAAGGTTTTTTATTTCCTCCATTGTAATAGCTGAGTATCACGCAATCATTTAATGAATTCATCCTCACAGTACCTCGATGAAGTAGAGAAATATTAAGACACCCATTTCACAGATGTATTATGTACTGAACTGAAGTATCAAGAGAGTGTACCTGTATGGCTTGCTCTGTGGGCTGGAGAGACTGAGGCAAAGTGAACCCTGATTATAGGATGGGCCCACATAGGGTGACCAGATGACAGAACTGAAATATCGGGATGGCCGGGGGGGGGGGGGCGGAACGG